TTGTTGAGGATGTCTCCAGCGGAACGCTCGTTCTGTAGGACTTGTTGGGGATGTCTCGAACGAGGGCTTCGCCTGCAGCGAGACGTTCCTGCTGCAGAATGCGTTGAGGATGTCGCTCGCGAAGTGTGTGTGTGTGTTTGTATGGTTAGAGGAGGTGTCGAGCGGGAGTCGTGTCGTCGTCTCGGTGCTTTCCTTTTCGGTTTGGATTCGCCCCCAGTTCGGCTCGCTCCACTCGGGAACCGAACCGAATCTTGAGCTCGAGCTGGTTGAACCCCCCGCACGTTTCGACTGGACTGCAACAAGTTTTGGGAGAGCCATACGCGTAGGCAGCGTAACCTTTAGATCCAGATCAGTTCGGTCAGGATTCGGATGCCAAGGGCGGCTCGATCGACAGCGCAAAAGGCAGCGGCAACAGCACAATTCAACACATCATGGCGCAACATGGCACGGACAAATCGTCGCAACTTACGCTGGGGTCGTGGCCCTGGTTAACTTGCGAGGTGGCCTTGGCCCCTGAGGAGACGCCGTGTGGTTTCAAGATGGTGAGCCGAAACGTCCTCGGCCCGTCCCAGTCTCGGCTTGTCTTGTCTCGGTTCGACCAGTGTCAGTCCAGCCTTCGTCTCGGTGCGCATTGCTTCGGTTCCTCTCGCCGAGTCCGTGGGCCGATCATTTTTTCGCAGCGTCGACACCCACGAGGTCCGGGCCCCTTCCCCGGGACTGGCTTCTCATCCAGGGCATTTGCCCGAAGTGGGGGCGGACTTGGAGGCTCGGGGGTGTCCAGGGAGTGGCAGCCAAGGGGGGGGGCGGCGCACGTTTGTACTTGTATCTTCGCTCGGGCTCCGAGCGCACTTGCGTACATAATCCGAGGGCTGCGGTGAAGGAACAGAACTTCTCCTTCGTCTTCGTCTTCTTCTTTGGGAGGTGTCCACTGACCATCGCTCGGACGTCCATTTCCAGTGTTTGTTTTCGGTTTCGTGCGTGGTTTCTTCGCCAAATGATCAAGGATGCTCCTCGATGGTCCTCGCCGAAGGAAAAATGCACACGTCCGAGCGATGCCAAGGTCCAAGGGGGGGCAGCCAATAGAGGGGCGGGGGGGGGGCGGCGCAAATCATGGCCCGAGGCGTGCGCACGGACAAGTTGGGGGTGCGCGGCTTCCCCTGGGGCCGTGGACGACCCGAGGAGGGGAGGGCGAGGAGGGGGAGGGCGAGGAGGGGGAGGATGATGAGGAGGAGGGAGGGAGGGGGGGGAGGAGGAGGAGGAGGAGGAGGAGGAGGAGGAGGAGGAGGAGGAGGAGGAGGAGGAGGAGGAGGAGGAGGAGGTGGACGGGTCGCCCAAGCCCTTTCGGAGAAACCTTCCAGGTGAGGGGGGGGGCAGGGGACGCATTATAAGGAGAAGAAGGGCCCTGAGATCCAGGGGAGCCACCATGGCCCTGGCCATGATATCCCCTCCCCCTGGTCATCACCCCCCTCTTCGACGCCTGGTGGTTTTCGGGCCTCTGGCGGCCGTTCGGGGCGAGCAGGGACCCCCCCCGACCGCTCTCGACGAGGCGCAGCTGCTGGAAGGCACCCCGAGGCTGGGGAACCGCCGAGGACCGACGAAAACGTCCGAAACCCTCGAGCCTCGAACCCGAAAGTCTTTAACCTCCTTAGACGCCCCCGACCCCTCCCTACTTCCCCTCCTGGCCGCCCCCCATTGGAGACTTAGTCGTCGGAGTTGCCTCATGGAGGTGTGTGTGGGGGGGGGGGGCGAGACGCGTGCACCTTCCGTGCCGCTTTTGGGCCCCAGGGTGCCTGTTCAGGGCCCCTCCCAGGGCACAAGAAGTCTACCTTTTTTCACCCCCATCACAGTCGACACGTCTGATAAGGCCGCGATGCAAGGACCTTGGAAGGCCGTGCCGACACTTTGCGAGCGGGGCGCGGCCAGCGAGAAAAAGAGGCCAAGGATGGGCCGAAGGGGAAGGATGCCAAGGTACCCTTGGGAAGTCGTTCGTCCTTACTACCAGACTCGTCAAACATACATTGACAGTTTTTGTTTTCGGTGCTTGTGCGGCTGGCGCTACTTCAACGCTGGCATGTGGCGCGTGGCCCAGGCGAAGGGGCGCCCGAAATCCAGCAGTGCCCTCGCAGCATTGAAGAACTCGTTTTCTGACAAGTGCCCGAACTTGTCGGGCGCCTCGGCTTTGAGCGGCGTTTCGATTTTGTTACCTTTCACGGCAATTGTCAGCACCGGCCGTTGTCAGCACCAGAGCGCACAACCTATGCTAAGTGAAATGCCAGACGCAGCCGTGCACATTCATCTTCATAGTGGAAGGAGGCCCCCTGTATGGAGGCACGGCCTCGGTTTGCATTCGCAGTACGAGGCTATCGCAGCAGAGGCGGCGTTTCGATGGATTTCAGACGAGGCTTACAGGCGGGTCGAATGTACGCAGCCCCCGGGCTCGCGAACCCGCAGAGGTCACCAGGCCGACCCGCGGCGCCGACAGCGCGCGCGGCGCGGGCTCCTCGCGCGGAGGGCGCGCCGCGGCCCGGCGAGGAGCCGCCCGCGCTGCTCGCCTCCTCGAAGGACTCCTCCAGGCGCAGGGCTCGCGGCCGACGCGGCCAGGAGCAGGGGACGAAAGAGAGGCCGTCCAGCGGAGGAGGAGGAGGAGGAGGAGGAGGAGGAGGAGGAGGAGGAGGAGCAGTGACGCCTGGAGGAGGCGAGGGAGAAGGACGAGGGGAAGGAGGTAAGATCCGCCGCCCCTCCCCCCTTCCCCCCGCGGGGCCATCTGGCTCCGGGGATTAGGCTTGCTGCTCCCTGCTCCAGTTCCAGTTTCCAGTCTCCGATGCTCTGTTGAAGTCCGCGCGAGGGGGGGAGCCGAAAAGGGCCCTGGTTACCTTCACCTGGGGGGGTTCTCAGAATTTCTGGGGGGTCCTGGGACACGTGAAAATACTTGAGACTCGTGCCCCCGAAGCCATAATCCATCAACAATTGCTCCATGTTCACGCCCCCGAGGCCGTAATCCTTCGTAAATGATGTTTCCGCCCTGCGTAGCCGCCGCTTCCGCCATGGTTTTGCCGAAATATCCGCCCTGCTCTTCTGAGGCGGAGATTTCCGCCCTGTTTGTTCGCACTGTTTAGGGTGAATTTCCGACGCAAGTCCGACGCAAGTCTACACCTGTGAATCAGCCATGGTACGGCGGAATCGGAGTCAGAGGACTCGGAGGCCGCGGCGGCGACAACGACGGTGACAACGACGGCGACGACAACGCCGACGACAACGGCGACGGCGACGGCGGCGACCCTGAGATCCGGTCGCTGTACTTTTCCACACTGGGCGTTTTCGCCGTCGGGCACCAGGGCCAGCACAGGTCGGTCAGACTCGAATAGTGCTGCAAAAAGATTGGGTATAGGGCTTTCGTCGTTCTTTCTCACGATATGGCAATTTCGTTCGCAACGTCGGATCTCTGGGGACGGCGACGGCGACGGCGACGGCGAAGACGACGACGACGACGACGACGACGACGACGACGACGACGACGACGACGACGACGACGACGACCGCCACCGAGGGCCCATCGGGTAGGGGGCCGAGCCCATGGGCCGGCGGCACGCCCGGGCGCCACCCGACACCTGGGGTTGCGCTCGGGCGCGCCACCGCCCAGGGTGTCCCCCCCCCGATGGTTCCTCGGTGGCGGTGGTCTCTGTAGGCGGCGGGCGAGGGGGGGAAGTGAGAAGGAGAAGGCCTTCTCAGAAGGCGGCGGGACTTCTCAGAAGCCCTCGCGCCTTCTGAGAAGTTATTATTGTTTTCCGCGAAGGCTTAGGAAACTTCTCAGAAGGCCGGGGGACTTCCGAGACTTCTGAGAAGGCCCGCCCCTTCTCACTTCCCCCCCTCGCTCGCCGCCGACTCTGTCTCTCCTCTGAGACGGCGGCGGCGACGACAGCGACGACAGCGAGAGCGACGACAGCGACGACGGCGAGGACATGCGATGATTCCTCCGCGTAGGACGCGGCCGACTTGGAGGCAGGGCTGCTCACGCACGCTGCCGCGCTGTCACACACAGCATCCTGCTCCTCGTCGACCTCGGCCTCGTCGTCCTCCAGCTCGGGAGAGGCCGACTGGGAAGCTGGGCTGGCCACGCACGCTGTCGCACTGACATCAACCGTTTTCTGCTCCTCGTCGACGGCCTCCTGCTCCTGCTCCTCCACGGCCTCCTCGGCCTCCTGCTCCTGCTCCTCCAGCGCCTCCTCGGCCACGTCGTCCTCCACCTCGGGAGATGGCCAGCACAAGGCAGGACCCGACAGGACAGGCGCCGGTGTACGCCCCGGGGGGCCACCCTCCATCAGAGCTCGGCTGGGGCGCAGGAGCACTGAAAACTCAGATGTCGCAGTGCATGATTACTTTATGTGCGTTCGCAGCTCGAACTGCCACCCCGAGCATCATGCCGAGGCCCCCGCCCCTCCCCCGTCCCCTGCCGGGTGATCCCCGTTCTGCCTTTCTCCTGCAGTCAGGGCGCTGAAATCAGAGCCACCACGTCCTCCGCCTCCTCCTCCTCCTCCTCCTGCTCGTCCTCCTCCTCCTCCTCCTCCTCCTCCGCCTCCTCCTCCTCCTCCTCGTCCTCGTCGTCGTCTTCAGGGGCGGCGCACTGGTCGTAAGGCCTCCACAACAAGGGTCACCTTAGGCTCAGGAGGGGCTCACGTTTTCGCGCCGTTCCTTAGGCCTAGGTCGGGGAACCCATTCGTGGCCGACGCCCGCTGTCGCCAGCAGAGCCCTTTCGTGCCTTTTGCGGCGTTCCTCATGGTAAGACGATGACTGCGCCCCTCGGCGAAGGTGCGGCGTCCACTCCAAGACCCAACCGAAGGCCATGGAGAACGCGCGAGGAAGCCCACCGCACGCTCCGAGCGTGCGCGAACGTCTGCGGTACCTGTGCCAGCCGTGGGCGCCCGAGTGACGTCCCTTTGAGCGCGCCTTGCAGCTGCGGTCCTCGAACCGCATCCTCCCTCCCCCCATCCTACCCACAGTCCCCCTCACTGCTGGCACCGGCCCCCGGCCCCACGGGGAGAGGCGTCGCGTGGGGGCCAGCTCACGAAGGAGAGCGGCGGCCCTGGCATCTCCAAGCAGCTCGCAAGTGCGTCGCTGGCACCTCCCCGAGCGGCAAGGCAGGCGTACTCATGCTAGCCACACGAACTTCCAGAATGCGGAAGGCGAGCGCAAATCTTCGAGCCACCGCAGACTGTGCCTTATGGTGCCTGCCAGTCTACGGAGCTGGGGAGTTTCCCGGGAGCACCTGCGGGGCATGCGAAGACTGAGCGCACCAGCTGTATCGGCGATGACTGGGCCACTCTGGGCCGACGTCTCTCATCGAAGCCGTCCCCCAGGAAAGCCACCCCCTCTGACCCTGACAGCGCCGCCCCTCGAAGCGGGCCCCTGCGCCAACGGTCCCCCTCGAAACTGCGTCTCTCTCCCTCTCTCTCTCTCTCTCGCGATTTGTTGTTGTTCTGTTCCCCATATCCTAAGATGGGGTTCTTGTTATTCTTGGACACCTCCTACTGCCTCTCCCTCCTCCTCTTTCCTCCTCCCCTCCTCCTCTTTCCTCATACTCAGACTTACTCATACACAGACTTACTCATACTCAGACTTACTCATACTCAGACCTACTCATACTCAGACTTACTCACACTCAGACATACTCATACACAGACTTACTCATACACAGACTTACTCACACCCAGACGTACTCATACACAGACTCACTCATACCCAGACTTACTCATACACAGTATTAGTCATACTCAGACTTACTCATACCCAGACGTACACATACACAGACTTTCTCATACACAGACCTACTCATACCCAGACTTACTCATACACAGACTTACTCATACACAGACTTACTCATACTCAGCACCCCTAAGGGGAGCCGCCAGGGGTGGTTGCACGGGCTCGTTCGCGGCCATTTTGTGGGGATGTCTCAGGCGGTTTGCTTGTTTCTGGGCCAACATCCTTCGCTTGGAGAGCAGATTGTGAGGATGTCTCAGGCGGGGCGCTGGTTTCAGCACCCCTAAGGGGAGCCGCCAGGGGTGGTTGCACGGGCTCGTTCGCGGCCATTTTGTGGGGATGTCTCAGGCGGTTTGCTTGTTTCTGGGCTCAACATCCTTCGCTTGGAGCAGATTGTGAAGATGTCTCAGGCGGGGCGCTGGTTTCAGCACCCCTAAGGGGAGCCGCCAGGGGTGGTTGCACGGGCTCGTTCGCGGCCATTTTGTGGGGATGTCTCAGGCGGTTTGCTGTTTCTGGGCTCAACATCCTTCGCTTGGAGAGCAGATTGTGAGGATGTCTCAGCGGGGCGCTGGTTTCAGCACCCCTAAGGGGAGCCGCCAGGGGTGGTTGCACGGGCTCGTTCGCGGCCATTTTGTGGGGATGTCTCAAGCGGTTTGCTTGTTTCTGGGCTCAACATCCTTCGCTTGGACAGCAGATTGTGAGGATGTCTCAGGCGGGGCGCTGGTTTCAGCACCCCTAAGGGGAGCCGCCAGGGGTGGTTGCACGGGCTCGTTCGCGGCCATTTTGTGGGGATGTCTCAGGCGGTTTGCTTGTTTCTGGGCTCAACATCCTTCGCTTGGAGAGCAGATTGTGACGATGTCTCAAGCGGGGCGCTGGTTTCAGCACCCCTAAGGGGAGCCGCCAGGGGTGGTTGCACGGGCACGTTCGCGGCCATATTGTGGGGATGTCTCAGGCGGTTCGCCTGTTTCTGGGCTCAACAGGGAGGGAAATGACAGGAACGAGGATGAGGAGGAGGAACAGGAGGAGGAGGAGGCGGGGGATCGTGAGGAAGGGCATGGGGGTGCGGAGGGGGAGGGGGAGCAGGAGGATGAGGAGGAGGAGCAGGAGCAGGAGAAGGGAGGGGGCGGAGGAACAGGAGGAGGAGGAGGAGGAGGGCGCTTTGCTCGAAGGTCCTTGACGCGAGCAGAACGTTCGTTCCGAAGTCCAGGACATATATATATATATATATATATATATATATACACACACCTATATATGTATTCATAGGGGGTGACTGCGAGGGGGGGGGCTGTGGTTGTGTGCGGGGATCGTTGGAAATGCTCACCGTGGCACTATCCTCCAACATGACATGCACTTATGGCCTTGTGTGGCTAAACGCTCGTCTTACATATCCCACTGCCAACTATCCTACAACATATGCACATGTGGGAAGCTCCAAAGCTACCACGGGCTGAAAAGGGGAAGGCCTGGCAGCTGAGGAGGGGGGATGAAGAGGAAGAAGCTCGCATTCAACCATACTCAAAGCTCACTCTGACTCATACGCAATCACTCGCATTAGGGGTCACTCGTCTTCGTCGGCCCTGTCGCCCACGTGGACGCGCTATTGTAGTAGTCGACCGCTCATGAACAGACGCTCACCACGGCATGACATAAAACATGAGATGCACATATGGGGAGCTCCACGCAGTGAGTAATTCTGGTTTTGTTTGTTTTGTTTGGTTCTCTCTCTCCCCCTCTCTCTGAAGATTTTTGCGAGGCGGGGATTTATCCATATCTGCCGCCTGGGGGACCGACGTTCTGGGACCCGAGGGTGCGGGGGATATGGACATCTTTTGGCCCCAGGGGGGCCGAGTATATCCAGCATAACCGCCGCCTGCCGAGGTCCCCGAAGACCGATCCCCCAGGTGGCAGCTATGGATACCCGCCTGGGATGATTGCCCTTCGTGGCCGCCGGGCCAGCAAGATCGGACTGTCCCGAGCAGGCCACTGCCCTCTCCTGAAGAACCTCCTCCCGCCCTCTCCCTCGGCCCTCACCTCCCACCCTCCTTCAATCTCCTCCTCAAGTCTCCGACGTCGTGTTTTCCCCGCAGCGCGGACCCCTCAGATGTCTGGACCCCTTCCCCGCGTCTCGCCCAGAGCCGTTTTGTGGCATCCCCTGGCTGGGGCCGGCGAGCGAGGGGGGGGGAGTGAGAAAGGGCGGGCCTTCTCAGCAGGCTCGGAAGTCCCCCGGCCTTCTGAGAAGTTCTCGAAGCCTTCCCCGAAGGCACAAAAAACCGCTCAAAAGACGCGAGGGCTTCTGAGAAGTCCCGCCGCCTTCTGAGAAGGCCTTCTCCTTCTCACTTCCCCCCCTCGCTCGCTGGCGAAACTCCTAAACTCCGTCGTAGCGCAAGCGCGGCGCAGGCGTACAAACCTCAGCGCAGATCTCGGGGTCCGCGCCCGCGAACGTCGCGACCTCTGCGCCGACACCAGCCACTTCGTCCTCCTCCTCGCACTCGGCGCACGCCCCAGCGGCCTTTTCTCGGGAAGCAAGGAGGCACCAATTGCGCCCGGCCCCGCTCGGAGGGGGAGGTGAGAGCTTTGTGGGGCTTCGTGGCCTGGGGACTTGATCGGCCTCCCATGGGTTGGCCGCCCGAAGTGGGTACGGAAAAAATGATACGGTGCCCACAAGGAAATCCTGTCCGAAAATAGCAGCGGCCGCTGCTGGGCAGACTACTCTTTGTCTCAAGCGGACCGCGGTCGTGGCGACACCGACAACAAGCCATTCTCAAAATGGGCAGGAACTGCCGTCGGGCTTCGGTGCCGTGCTCTCCGTGCCCGCTTCGATCCTCCAGAACGGGGGTTCCTGAGCTCCTCTGCTGACATTTCGAAAGCTTCCTGGGGCCTGCGGGGAGGGGCGGGCAGGGGCGAACCGTCGATATCCCGAGGAATATTCCTGATGGTGCCCCGCGGGCGTGCTCCGCTTTTGCGCGCTCCGCGCCCCCGCCCGCCTCCACCAGCGTTCTGGCCGCCGTCCCGGGCGCCGCGCCGCTGCCGCTGCTGCCGATGCCGACGCTGTCGTCGGCGCCGGCCATGGCGCCAGCGCCGCCAGCTGGCGCTGGCTCTGCCTCTTCCGTCTCTGCGGCGCCACCGCCGACGCTGCCGCCCGCTGGCGCGGGCACGGGCACTGCGCCTTCTGCCTCCGCGGCGCCGGCGCCGGCGCCAGCGGGGACAGGGCCGCTGGCAGGCGTGCCGCCGCCGGCGGCGGGCGGGCCGCCGCCAGCTCGGGATGGCCTCGGGCGGGGGTAGCCGCTGGCCGCGGCGGCCCCAGCGTCAGGCGCTGCCCCTGGCTTGGCGGCGACAGGAGCTCGGCGGGCCGCGGAGAGGCCAGGGGGGGCCGAGCTGGGCCGCACCGAGGCAGGGCCAGGCTGCGGGGCGGCGCACAGCACCTGCGCAGTGAGCGGCCCCGTCCCCCCCTGGCGTGGCCTCCTCGCCGTTGCCGCCCACCTCCTCCACCTCCTGTTCCTGCCTCGCCTCCTCCTCCTCCTCCTCCTCCTCCTCCTCCTCCTCCTCCTCCTCATTGTTCCTCCTCCTCCTCCTCCTCCTCCTCCTCCTCCTCCTCCTCCTCCTCCTCTCCTCCCTCCTCCTCCTCCTCATTGTTCCTCCTCTCCTCCTCCTCCTTCTCCTCCTCCTCTTCCTCCTCACTCCTCCTCCTCATCCTCCTCCTCCTCTCCTCTCCTCCTCCTCCTCCTCCCTCCTCCTCTCCTCCTCCTCCTCCTCCTCCTCTCCCTCCTCCTCCATCTCCTCCTCCATCTCCTCCTCCTCTCCTCCTCCTCCTCGTTCCTCCCTCCTCCTCTCCTCCCTCCTCTCCTTCCTCCTCCTTCCTCCTCCTCCTCTCCTCCCTCTCTCTCTCTCTCCTCCTCCTCCTCCTCCATCTCCTCTCCTCCTCCTTCTCCTCCTCCTCTTCCTCCTCACTCCCTCTCCTCCTACTCCTCCTCCTCCTCCTCCTCCTCCTCCTCCTCCTCCTCCTCCTCCTCCTCCATCTCCTCCTCCATCTCCTCCTCAATCTCCTCCTCCTCATCCTTCTCCTCCTCGTCATCATCCTCCATGTGCTCTTCCTTAGCGGTTTCAGCTCAAGCTATTACGCCGATCTTGATGGCGTGCGGGAAGCGGATATCCTCGCCATTGGACCCCACTCCCCCGCCTGGACTGCCAGCTCGATCCCCTGGACATGGCGGACTCTGGACACCTTGAATCTCAAAGTGTCCTGGCGAAGGACCCAACCATATGCAGTTTTGAGTACCGTGTTGTGGCACCGCTTCCCGTGGAGCTCCCTTTGCGGCCACGACCGTGTGAGGGGTGCAAAATGGGACGGCACAGCCATGCAACCCCCGCCACTGGGGCATTTGATGCCCCGGACTCGTCCGGCGTCTACGCACTTCCGCCAGCCTTCCGCTGGCGGCCCTTCGGCCAGCCTTCTGATAGTCTCTCACAGAAGGCGAGAATCGTCGATGGCGAGGCCCTTTCTGGAGCGACCTCCAGCCCACCCCACCGATGCAACCCCGTTCGAGTCGTATCATCATGATCATCATCATCATCATCATCATCATCATCATCATCATCATCATCATCATCATCATCATCATCATCATCATCATCATGATCATCATCAACATCACCACCACCATCATCATCATCATCATCATCATCATCATCATCATCATCATCATCATCATCATGATCAGCATCAGCATCATCAGCATCATCCATATCATTAGCATCGTCATCGCCATCAGCATCATCATCAGCAGCATCATCATCACCATCACCATCACCATCGCAATCACCATCATCGTTATCAACAGCATCATCATCATTATCATCATCATCATTATCATCATCAGCATCATTATCATCATCGTCATCACCATCACCGTCACCATCATCATCAACAGCATCATCAGCACCACCACCGCTATCACCATCACCATCATGATTATCAGCATCAGCATCATCATCATCATCATCCATATCATTGACATCGTCATCACCATCAGCATCACCGTCAACATCATCATCACCACCATCACCGTCACCATCGCAATCACCATCATCATTCTCATGATCATCATCATGATCAGTATCATCATCATCAGCATCATCATCACCATCACCATCACCATCATCATCATCATCACCACCACCATCACCATCATGATGATCAGCATCAGCATCATCAGCATCATCCATATCATTAGCATCGTCATCGCCATAGCATCATCATCATCAGCAGCATCATCATCACCATCACCATCACCATCGCAATCACCATCATCATTATCATCATCATCATCATCATCATCATTATCATCATCATTATCATCATCATCATCAGCAGCATCAGTTTCATCATCGTCATCACCATCACCGTCACCATCGTCATAATCATCATCATCATCAGCATCAACAGCATCATCATCACCACCACCACCATCACAATCACCATCATGATGATCAGCATCAGCATCATCATCATCATCAATATCATTGGCATCGTCATCACCATCAGCATCATCATCATCACCTCCAACACCGTCACCATCGCAATCACCATCATCATCCTCATCATCATCATCATCATCAGTATCATCATCATCAGCATCATCATCATCTTCATCACCATCACCATCACCACCACCACCACCACCATCATCATCATCATCATCATCATCATCATCACAAGCATCATCATAATCATCCGTATCATTACCAGCATAATCACCATTAGCGCCATCATCAACATCATCATCACCATCACCATCACCGTTACCATCACAATCACAATCACAATCGTCATCATCATCATCATCATCACCACTATCACCATCACCTTCATCATCATCAACCTAATCATCACCATCATCGCCATCACCACCATAACCGTTATCATCATCATCAGCAGCATCATCATCAACATCATCATCACCGTCATCATCATCATCATCATTGTCACCAGAACCGTCATCATCATCAGCAGCATCACCATCGTCATCATCATTGACACCATCACCATCACCATCACCATCACCATCACCATCACCATCACCATCACCATCATCATCATCATCACCATCACCATCACCATCATCATCATCATCATCATCATCATCATCATCATCATCATCATCATCATCATCATTGCCATCACCATCACCATCACCATCACCATCACCATCACCATCCTCATGACCACCCCCCTCCTCCCTGGCTCCAAATCCGCTGTGCTTTGGGCGATGTTTTACTGTTCAGGCTCCGTTGAGGTAGATGTCCGCCCTCCTTCGCCGTCGCTGCTTCCGCCATGTTTTGCGGAAATATACGCCCTCCTGTTCTGTTGCGGGCATTGCCGCCCTACCTTTTCGCATCGTTTGGGGTGGATTTTCGACACGATTCTTGAATCCACGGAGGTACGGCGGAAGCGGAGTCACGGCTGGCCCCCCCTCTGCACGACCTTCGCACGGAGCCTGACCCCCGCCGCCCTCCTGGCACTCCTCATGGCCACTCCTGTCTTGACCGGGAGGGAGAGGCCATCCCGCGTCGGCCCCCCTCCGCGCCACGCCCGGCCAACGACCCTCGGCGTCCCAAGGCCCACGTCTCACGTCTCTGACGCCTCCAACCTCGAATCTTAAGTCATCGGCGCAGAGGGTCCTCACACGCGGGCAGCAGATGGAACTGCTAATTGCGATCGAGCGTAGTCGAAAACACAGTGATCGAGACGTCGAACGCTGGAACGCAAACGATCCTCCAATCTCGAACCTCGAACCTCACTCCTTTTGACCCTGACGCACGGACGCCGGCAAAACGTCCTGCAGGACGGCCCTCTAAGGGCTCGGCAGAGGCGCCAGAGCACCGAGCACACCACACTTGTACCCCAGTGTGACATGCAGGGGCGTCACCGCCACACGAGATGGCCCTGGAAGGGTTCCGAGCTGATTCCTTCTAGCTTTGGAGGGGGAGCCACGGGAGATGCAGACAGCTGGTGCGCGAAACGGCAGGGAACACTGGCCTGTGTGGCGGGGTGGTGCGGCAGAGCTGAGACCCAGCGCCGTCAGCTGCAACCCGGACTTCTCATCAACTTTAGTGTTGCCATCAGCTCTTGCGAGAAGGAACCACAGGTTCAGCCTTGTTTTGCAGGGCTCAGCGGAGGTTGGGTGACAGCCCCCCCAGGGGTGGCGAGGTATACTTTCGGTCTGCGTGGGACGTCACTCTGCTGGATCTCCCAGCAGCCCTCGAAAGTGGCAACAATTTCGCAGATCGCAGCCCATCCGGGGATGGCGAGGTCCAATATGAAACTGCGTGGGACGTCACTATGCTGGACCCCCCAGCAGCCCTCAAAAGTGGCGGCACTTTCGCAGGTCGCAGCCCCCCCCGGGGATGGTGAGTTTTAGTATGGACTTGCGTAGGACGTCACTATGGTGGACCCCCCAGCAGCTCTCGAAAGTGGCGACGGCGACAGTTTCGCGGATCGCAGCCCCCAGAGATGGCGAGGTCTAAGCTTACTCTGCGTAGGAAATCAATATGATGGACCCCCCAAGCAGCCCTCCAAAATGGCGAAAGTTTCGCAGGTCGCAGCACACCCCCCAGAGGTGAGGTCCAACCTGAATCTGCGTGGGACGTCACTATGATGGACCCCCCACCAGCCCTCGAAAGTGGCGACAGTTTCGCAGATCGCAGCACACCCAGGGGTGGTGAGGCCGAGTTTGAACCTGCGAAGGACGTCGCTATACTGGACACCCCAGTAGCCCTCGAGGTTGGCACAAGTTTCGCAGATCGCAGCCCCCCCAGGGGTGGCGAGGTCGAATCTCACTCTGCGTGGGACGTTACTATGCTGGGCACCCCAGCGACCCTCGAACGTGGCGACAGTTTCGCAGATCGCAGACCCCCAGGGATGGTGAGGTCACCTGGATCTGCGCAGGACGTCACTAGGATGGACCCTCCAACAGCCCTCGAAAGTGGCGACAGTTTCGCAGATCGCACCCCCTCAAAGGGATGGTGAGATCCAGTGTGGATCTGTGCAAGGCGTCACTATGGTGGACCCCTCAGCAGCCCTCGAAAGCGGCGTCAGGTTCACGAACCGCAGCCCCCAAGTGATGTCGAGGTCAATTCTGAATATGCATAGGACGTCACTATGCTGGGCACACCAGCAGCCCTCGAAAGTGGCGACAGTTTCGCAGGTCGCAGCCCGCCAGCCAACCCCACGGTAGGACGGCGAGGAGGCAGGATGTAGGAGACGGCAACAAAAAAGGAAAAAGGAGGTGGAATGGAGGAGGGGGAGCAGGAAGAGGAGGAGGAGGAGGAGGAGGAGGAGGAGGAGGAGAAGGAGGAGGAGGAGGAGGGAGGTGGAGGAGGAGGAGGAGGAGGAGGCGGCGGAGGAGGAGGAGGAGGAGGAAGA